TGAATTTTAATGAATTATGTGATTTATTAGTTCCACCTCATTCTGTCGCGTGTACTAAGAGAAACTCTGCTCCACCTGTAAGCTTAGCGGAGAAACGACAGAACCTCTAGTTTCGGGCATAAATCCTAACAAACTTAGACCACAAGGGTTTAAATCCGAATTTTTTTTACCACATGGACTATCTTCTGAATACCTTATGACCACAAGGACCATTTATCCGATTTTGCCAACCTAAACCTAATGGAGGAATGACAGAAGGACATAAATCCTAACAGACTGTGACCACAGGGGTTTAAATCTGAATTTTTTTTACCACATAGACTATCATCTGAATACCTTATGATCACGGGGACCATTTATCCGATTATGCCTTAATCAAACGAAAAGTTGGGGGTGTTGCTAAATAAAATTAGGGCGGGGGTTGGGCGGGCCGTATCAGTCTAGGTAAATTATAGCCCATCCAGAGAGTCTGCAGTGCACCGCAGCGCAGCCTCTTTCAGTCCTCATCAGGCATCAACCATTGTTGCCGCCGGTGTCCTCTGCTAATGTAACTACTTCTTCGTTTAATTCTTCTTTGTTTAATTCTTCAGTTATGCGAATCAGACTTTTTGCTCTTAAAAACAAAGGGTAGTGTGCCGAAACTCTGACAAATTCTTTTTGCTCGGACAGCACCGAATAAACTCACAAAAATTCCAAGGATAAATGGAGTGTTACGAAGCATATGACATTCTTTTGTTTGTGCTTTGCTTCTCAAACAAATTGTTTTAAGTTGCACTTGAGAGCCTCAAATCTATTGTTTTTTCGTTTATATTGATTTCACTTATTTTGTTTATTTAGCTGTATGTGCTGGAATTTGTGTTTTCAGCTCTTTGTTTAATTTGTGACTATGGCTTGTAGCTCGGGTGATGGCTCAAGTCCTACTAGGCATGCCGGGACCCTGGGCTGATGATTTTCGTGAAACATCTGATCATTATACTACAAAGATTGGCGGATTACCTGTGAGCAACTGCTGCTCATCTTCTCATGTTTTCTTCCAGTATACGAGTGTTGAGTTTTTGAACCCCTTTTATTTTCTTTGTAACAGGACTGGCCTCTCCCTGAGGAATCCGTCACGCCTGATCTGCTTAAGTGCAGTGCATGTGGAAGTAGATTAAGTCTTGTTGCACAGGTTTTACTTTGGCAACTAATCATTTTACGTTTTAATGACATATCCTTCGAAAAGATACAGGCCGTGATTTTTAATTCTTTTATTCTCCAGGTTTATGCCCCAATTTCCAGTAAAATCGTACAGATTGAAGAGCGTGTCATTTTTATTTTTGGGTGTCTAATGCCAAAATGTGGGAGCACTCCTCTTAGGTCATTTTAAAGCATCTGAGTTGATATTAACTGCAAAATATATTAGTGTTGGTGCAAGCGTTGTTGGTTTTTCTTATGATGTATCTTATATCATGCAGCTGGCGAGCGCTGCGTGTTCAAAAGCTACACAATGAGGAGGAACCAATTACCTCTTCTCTGGAAGTGGTCCCATCAACTTCATCAGTACCGGTTTCAAATGCCAGCTGGTGGGAGGATTTGGACGATGAAAATGATGAAGATATAAATCTAGAAGAGTTGGGTAAAGCATTTAATGATGCTGCGAGATTAGCTTCTACTGCCAAGAAACCTCATAGAAATGATCACAGTAAGACTTCTACAAAGCCATCTTCTTCAAGTCAGTTGGAAAAAGTGGCAGACGTTGACACACCTGGTATGGATGTCTTTTAGAAGAATAAATCTCAGCTTAGCTTCCCCTTACTTGGTTTCCAAGCTTTTATAATTGTATGTGTTTTTTGGCCACCATTTCATGAGCTTCGTCTCCTTTGTACATGTACTGTACTATGGCTGTTGCATTTTTCTCTGTGGCTAAAATATGCCACTTCGTTGTTGTTTTGTTCAGAGTCTTTTTGGTGGTTCAGTGTGAAAGGTACCATAAAAAAAACTGCACAAAGTGGATGGTTGGCTACAAATGTAATGATGTGGGAGAACGAAACTTGTCATTAAATAATTGTGAGATGAATAAGTTCTTTTCTTTTTAAGGGACGAAGTAACCAAAATTAGCTTGCCTATAAATTATTGTAGTTTCTATCCCACTTTGACTGCAACATAATGGTAAAAATCATTTCTTCATACATAAGGGTAAAAACCATTTGTTCATATAAACTTTTGCTTAATTTGAAAAACCAAGTTTATGTGTGTGTACAACATGATTCACTTATTTACATATTTATTGTTTGTTGTAAATTGGTATTTCTTTTTCTTAACTGATTCAAATTCTTCCATTCAATGACATTCTTTTTCAGTAAAATCTATGTGCTGGGTTGCCATTTCAGTGTTGTTTTAGGTTTTTCTGAGGTATAACTTGTTTAATGTGCTTGTGCAGTGGTGCCTTGTTTTTATGTATACACTCAAAAAGAGTCATCCTCAAAGGATCTTACTTCTTTATGTTCAAACTACTCATCACTTTCCATTGCAAAAGAAGGAAATGATAATGAGGATCACGGACAAGATGAAACGTGGGCTGAGGAAGCTTATGAATATGATAAAGCGTTGACAGCTGACAGGACATACCTGAAGTTCAAGAAACGGTTGGATGCACACCCAGAACAATGTTTCAGGTATTGAATTAATGAAACTTAAGATGTTCAAGTAGATGGAAATTAGGATGCAAGTAGTTAGTTGCACTTCATTTGCATTTGTAGCTTGTTATCAAAATTAGTTAAATTTGTGGAGACTCTTACAATGTGTTTGGTGGTCAATACCAATGCGAAGCTCACTATGATGCAGAAGCACATGAAAATCACTCGGGCTTATTTAACATAATATTGCAGAGCAACACACATATATCAACTCCACGAATTTATTTATTTAATTTTTGGGGGGAAGGGGGAAAATTAGGAAAGAGTGCTGCTTACTCCAACCCCTTGGGGAAAAATTGTTTAGTTTGAATAGCTATATATGACCATGCCACACGCCGTCACCCATGGCCATGTGAACATGCCACACTCCATCCCTGATGGTATTTCCATCTGTGGTGTTGCAACAATGTGAACCAATGTCTGGCTACACACTATGCTGAGATGGCTGTATGATATGAAGAGCCCACTCGTTCATATATTGGTAACGTTCCCTTGAAAATCCCATCTTCACATGCTTTGGTAACGTTCCCTTGAAAATCCCATCTTCACATGCTTAGTCGTGAATTTCTTCAAGGTCTATTTGTTGCTACTCATTACTAATCTCATATAGGTCTTGAAAGGCTATGGCTCTATGATATGGTCAATTGGTCATATGATCTTTTCCCGAAATAATTTCATGTAACTGCATATATCAGATGACCAATTTACCATAATTTTTTCATCTCTCTCTCTGATTTGAACCATAAGGATGAAGTGTCTTGTAGACGAAAGCATATGAGTTGTATCTATAATTTTCCCTTTTAAAAATCTTTTCTTTTAGGCCTCACCAATGAGGAGTTACTTACTAGCGTACCTGGACATAATTTTGTTTCAATTTCCATGTGATAATGTGTGATTTCAAAACCTTGCGACCACATGTGAGTAGAGCTTTTTCATTTTTCACTTCCCCTTTGGAAAGTAATACTTGTTAAGCTTATATTCGACCTTAAATTAGAAACCGAGTGTGAAGTTGATGGGAAGCTTGTCTGAGACTTTGGCATCTTTCATGTCTTTCGAAATTGGCCCAGCAATTATCACTGTTAGACTTGGAACCGAGGAATGATATCTATTTTTCAACTCCGCGTTTTTCTTTTGTCATTTCTTATGATATCTTGTGTACTCAGATATTCATATGGTGGAAAGCCACTCCTGGCTACATCGGCTGAAGGAGATCCGGGGAGATGTAGTCTATGTGGTGGATCAAGGAAGTACGAGATGCAACTAATGCCCCCATTATTATATTTTCTACAAGAAGCAGCTGATGATTGTCAGAGGCAGTCACTGGAGAACTGGAACTGGATGACACTTATGGTATACACTTGTTCCAAGGTGAGTCAAGTATTTGCTATTTGGTCTCTTATTACGTAGGTTCCCTTTAATTTTATGCAGAAACAATTTGATATTTTGCAGAGCTGTTGTCAACATGGTCAAGGAACGTCCAAGTATGGGAACTGGCTTGTGATAGATGAAGCTGTTGTGGTACAAGTCGAGAAATCTTTTAATGGGCTAGCTGAACATGGTTATTTGTCATGAATCGGTGCAGTAGATGTAGCCTCTTCATGGCTATTATACATACATATACGGGAATATTAAAGGCGTTGTCTCTTGGTTATTGATGGTTGCTGATGAGTGGCGCTGACACGGAAGAGCTCTTGTTCTGGACCTTCTGGTAAAGCTTGAAGAATTTCAAATTTGTCCCCGCTTATGCTTAAGGAAGTCTCATTGGCCATTCGAAACAGGCTACCGAGACTGGTGAGATGTGATGTATACATGGTTGATATTTTAGTATGTGACACAATTTTTCTGCTGAGAGAATGCAAATACTTACTGGTAAAATCTTGCCACACGCACACGGTGTTTCAATTGCCTATAGGATTTGTGTACAAATGGAATATGATCCTATAGCGTATATACTTGGAGAGTCCTTGTGACAGGATTCGAGTTCGATGTTCTAAACACCCAACTCGGTTTCACTTGAAGCTAGGCCGTAAGATGGGTAGGCAGGTTGGCAAGGATAATTCGTCAATTTAAGTTGCGCGACTGACATGTGACACACTTAGAGGGTGGACTGACAAATTTTAATGGGTTTAAGGAAACTTTTTTGAAAAAATAAGTCGATGGAGTCAACTTTTGGTTAGACAACTTGGCTACGTCCGGGTTCTTTTGTTCTATATGATTGGACACAAGAACCTGACTAATTGGACCGATCAATTAACCGAATTTTAAAACTACATTGCATTCAAAGCACATTGGGATGGCATTAAGCCTTTGTGACAAAACTCAGAATACTTCAGAACAAATCACTCAAGGGCATCATCACCCACGAATACTAGTCATAATATTCATTCAACTACATCCATGTAAGATCCACACACAAGGTTTGAAGTTGGTGGCTGTCCAAAGACAGCTTGCTTGGCAGTCAAGTTCTGAATATTAAAAAATATGCTACAAAAAGACGTTCGGAGTTGCATTGCCATAAATACAGCACCTTTCATAGTCATATGGAACAGAAGTAGCGACAGACTACTCAAATTTCTTGATTAGCGCCAGGTCATTCAACATTTTATCAATTGCATCATCGTCGTGAACCCGTCCTTTTGCCTGCATAAGAGAGGCTCCGTTAATAGATACTAATTAGAGTCAAGTAAACCCTAGGCATGACTTACAGACTTCAGAAGGAAATCAATGAGATTTCTTTTTCTGCACTTGAATTAAGTTTTGTTCATTGGAAATTAACTGACATTAAACTTGCTCGCTCCTACGAAGCATTATGTATATCCATACTGACAAATTCATAAACACCACTCGGAAAGGTTGGATGAGTGGGATATACCTTTATAGATGGCACCATAGCAATAGCTTCCTCAACAGTTTCAGGGCAGAGATTGCCAAGAACACAGAGCTGCACAACAGAAATCATTCCAGCATTAAGAAGATTTGTGTTAACAATGAAAAGAAAATTCTCTTTCTAGAGTTTATTATAGGTAATTGGAACTTACCTCGAACTCAGTCAGCTGATATCTACTAAGGATTCTGAATGTTGGTTAAGATTCACAAGTTTGAAGAAAAAATATCATGCTTTCATGTCAAAAGTAAATAACATAAACCACCATTCCTATGACAATTGCCAGCGTTGTCCCGATTAAGCATCTGAAAGATACAGTACACATCTGGACTGGCGGCCCATAAGGGTTACAAATACTCTCATCAACAGATAACTCAGCCAAATTGCCCATCAGCTGAAATCTCATAACTCATGAGATAGTCTTTTGTAGATCGCATAATAAATGCTTCGTTTTCATTCAATTACAGAAGTTGACAAATGATTGAACTCCAAACTGCTATGGTTTTTACTTTCTTTAACACGAGACGCACAATAACCAGATAACCAACACTTAATCTGCATCTTAACAAGAACCTAAGGCAGGAAACCTTGCAGCCATCCGGCTAATTTGGATTTATAGGGTTGATTAGAAAATTATGCAAACTCGAGTCTCTATCACCGACTCCCAGGAACGAATGAAAGGACATAAGTGCAATGTCCAAGATAGGATGAGATTCTACGGGTGCACATGTATAAATGTAGTAGAGTTGTAGCAGCATAACCATGAACGAACAACAAAGAAGATAAAATTTCCATCTTTTACAATTTGAAGGATACTCTCGAACTTGTTTAACAGCGTCGGGATTTTTGTAACGGCTGAAGCGCTTCACATACTGCAGTGACTTCTCAAATACTCTGAGAAGGTAAGGCAAAAAGAAACAACAAATTAAGCAAAACAGACAACATTCTGATCGGAATCCTAATATTATGCTAGATTGAAGATTAAGGATTAAAGATTAAAGGGAGTGAAAGGGAAACTGACTGAGAAATTTGGTTCCTGGGATCATCAGACATCTGTTGAAGCTGCTCGAACTTGTGTTCGAGAATCAAAGAAACTTCGCAGTTCATTAAGCACTTTGCCTTCAAAAACTCTGCCCACCACAAAACCAGATCCCACCATTTCTCTAATTAATCTAATCTAACGCAATACATACATACATATATAGATATATATACATAGAGAGAGAGAGAACAAGAGAGAGCGGGAGAAAGCTACCGTCTCCGATTTTAAGCTCGGCGGCGTTTTCTTCCTCTTCCCCAGACATGTTTGCGGAGTATCTAGAGAGAAAACAGAGAGAGAGAGAGAGAGAGAGAGAGATTTCGACGGGGCTTAAGCAAAGCAGAATTTATTGAAGAGGCGGAGGCGGAGGCGGCGTTGGCCTGGCCATAATATATAGAAGGTACTTTTCCTCATTTACCCTCAATTTTTCGCTCTGAATTTATTTTATTTTATTTATTTGTAGAATTATATGATGGTGCCATTGAGAGCTTAATCTTTGATGTCCGAGAGCTTACCAAACAATTGAGGGCCCTAGAAATGGCAATAGGGCGGCTCATCTAATAGCGTCGTACTCTGTTACTAAGAGCAGATCCAAAGTTGTTAGCCTCCCGGGCTTTAGGTAATTGCCCAATATCTTGACCTTTAAACTGAAAAGTAGGTCATTGATATTAAAATATTATTTTTATAAAAAAATAAAAGATAACTTTATTTTAATTTCTAATAATAATAAAAAATTAGTTGAAAATATTGAAATGTAGTATATAGTGGTTCTTGCTTATTTATAGAAAAAAAAATTATAATTTTTACAATTTTTTAATAATTAGATTGTGGCTGATGTCAATTTTGCGTCACATAGGCCAGGTATTGTGCTAGTGGATTATTGCCTGACTGAGTCATCGAGCTCACCTGGAGCCCAATGCCCTAGATTGGGCTAGAGGGTTTTGGGGGTGGGGTAGTAGATTGGATCGCCTATCCCCAAGGGGATTGGATCCCGTTGGACGTGCTATAAAGGCATTGGTCTGGCCATCATATTGAACAAATAGTTTTCCTCATTTACACTCAATTTTCCGCTGTGAATTCTTTCTTCTTTTTATTTTAAGCTAATTACCCATCTAAATTTTTATTTCAATGCTCTTGCTAAGGATGTGATGCTTGATATTCGAATTAATTGAATAAAGTTATCGTTTGACAAAAATAAAAAACCTTATATCTTTTAGTTGTTTTTATGTAAGGATGACCAGAAATTAAAAAGATGCATAGGAGCAAAATAAAATTATATGTTTCTTTAAAGAAAATTTGAGCATTAGTCTATGAATTTTGATCTAACTAGAGTTTTGGTTCATGAAAAAAAATACCGTGAATATTAGTTGTTAAACTTGTTATAAGATGGAGCAATAATCCTTATGAATAACACCATTATAACTTCCATCCAAAATAAAGAGCTTAGGGGAGCAAATAATGGACAAAATTTCTAATGGAATAATCCAAAATAAAATTGTTCTACATAGTGACAAGTTTGGGGATCATTACTCACCGATTTTTAGTATGGGTATGAAAACTTTAGTTCGACTAAAATTTAGACACGAATACTCCAATTATCTAATTCCCTTTTGCTAATTATCTCTCCATTGTCAAATAAATGATGTGTCGTTATCATTAGGGAGCTTTATATATAGAGGCAATTTTTTTTATTATTTTCAAGGAACTCCACTAGTTTTTAAATATGTCAAGTAGAGACAAAAACATAAAAATAACTAAAGCCGAGTCCAAAAACAAGGAAATAATGTTTTAAAATACAAGCCATACCCCTGAGGCTTTAGGGCTGTTAATATAACTCAGCCCTCACAACTCTAACAAAATTAATATATGTCATAAGCACAACTCATCCTTGACTATTTTTGCAAAATCAGCTTTCAAACTATATGTAGAATCAATTTGTATCATTTATTACTAGAATCAGTTCAACCCGTCATCAACCATTTTTGCAGAATTGGTTAAATCAGTCATCAACCATTTCTGTAGAATCAGTTCAACCCGTTCTCGACCATTTTTGCAGCATCGGTTCAATCAGTCATCTACCATTTTTGCTGAATCAGTTCAACTCGTCATTGACCTTTTGTGGAGAATTAGTTTAACTGCGCCAATGTCTACTTCTTCAAGGTCAAGGACTCGGCCGAGAAGTTCGCCATGCTTCAATTTGGTGTTTGCACCTTTTGTTGGTTCCTTTAAGGGCTTCTTGATTGCTCATACATATGTGCCTTTTTCCTTAATAGTTTTTTATATGTGCTCTATTTGGCTGCCGAGAAAGTGAGGAAGAAAGTAAAATACAAAAATTTAAGAATTTGCACCTGCAACACGACCCAGACGTCGAATCAATGAAAAAAAAAGATAAATTGGAATGAAATTGAACTGGATATGAGAGGCTTCTCCCCGATTGCCAATCTTTCAAACTCCGTAACTTCACCTTTGGCCTAATATTTGTTGAAGAGAGAAAGGGAGAGAAAAGAGTAACAAATGAACTGATGGAATGTCAAAAGCCTTTACCACTATACATGGTATTTTTGTAACTTACACTCTAGAGAAAAAAAAAAAAACTAATGATGTCATCTTTTACACGTATTAACTTTTGTCCCACATTGAAATGTTTAAAAAGTGTTATCTTAGTATAAAGTTAAGTATTAAGAGTATACTCTTTGTGTAATTTGTCCAATAAATAAATGCATTTAAAACATGGCTAACCGTTTCACTTATTTTGATTTGGTGGTGTTTTGTCCTTGTACATTAAAGACTGCACCTAGCTTGAAGCCTATACCGGGACTTCTTTTGGAGTTTAAAGTGTTTGCATTGCCTCACATCCCTCTTTTATAATTGCCTAAATTTTTGCTATTTGATTGGTTGAGAAGAGAAAGAAGATGTTATAATAATCTTATCAAAATTTACATATGTTGAGTAATGGTTGGTACTTCTCTCTATATATTAACTATTTCCACAAAATTTGAGGAGTTGAGGACATTAGTTGCTTCCCCATAGCTTTGTTCACAACATGAGGAGGACATAATTGGGTTATGAAAGAATAAATTGAAAATAAAATCGAAGAAATTAATAAGAGAGCTTTATATATCGAGACGAAACATTTTGCAATATTTCAAGGAACTCCACTCGTTTTTAAACATGTCAAGGAGAGACAAAAACATAAAAACAACTAAAGCTTAGCCCAAAAACATGGTAAGAATGTTTTAAAATACCAGCCATACCCCTAATGCTTTATGGCTGTAATATAACCCAACCCTCACTACTCTAACAAAATTAATATGTCCCATAAACTCAACACATCCTCGACTATTTCTGCTGAAATTTTGAAACTATATGTAGAATCTGTTTGTATCCTTTATTACTAGAGTCAATCCTCGACCATTTTTGCAGAATCGATTCAATCAGTCATTGACTATTTTTTTAGAATCAATTCAACCCCTCATTGATCATTTTTGCAACATCAATTCAACTCGTCCTCAATCATTTTTGAAACATCAATTCAACCCGTCCTCGATCATTTTTCTATAATCGGTTCAATCAGTCATCAACTATTTTTGCAGAATCAATTTAGCTCATCCTCGACATTTTTGTAGAATCAATTCAACCCGTCATCGACTATTTTTACAGAATTAGTTCAACTGCACTGACGTATGCTACTTCAAGGTCAAGGACTTGGTCGAGAAGTTTGCCATGCTTCAGTTTGGTGTTTGCCCCTTTTGTTGGCTCCTTTAAGGGCTTTTTGATTACTCGTACATATGTGCCTTTTTTCTTTATAGTTTTTTGTATATGCTCTGTTGGCTACCAATAAAGTGAGGAAGAAAGTAAAGTACAAAAATTTTAGAATTTGCACCCACAACACGACCCAAACGTCGAATCAATGAAAAAAAAAGAAGAAATCAGAACAAAATTGAACTGGATCTGAGAGCTTTCTCGCTGATTTCCAATCTTTCAAGCTATGCAACAACTTCACCTTCGGCCTAATATTTCTTGAAGAGAGAAAGGGAGAGAAAGATGTAACAAATAAAGTGATGAAATTGTGAAAAGACTTTACCACTGTGAAGGATATTTTTGTAACTTACACTCTAAAGAAAAAAAAAACTAATGATGTCATCTTTTACATGTATTAACTTTTACCCCACCTTGAAATGTTTAAAAGGTGTTATCTCAATATAAAATGAGGTATCAAAAGTATACTCTATGTGCAATTTTTTCAATAAATAAATGTATTTAAAACATGGCTAACCCTTTAACTTATTTTGGTTTGGTAGTGTTTCGTCCTTGTACATTAAAGACTACACCTAGCTTGAAGCCTATACGAAGACTTCTTTTGGAGTTTAAAGTGTTTGCACCTCATGTCCCTCTTTGATAGTTGTCTAAACTTCTGCAATTTGATTGGCTGAGAAGAGAAAGAAGATATTCTAATAATATTTTCAAAATTTATATATGTTGAGTAGTGGTTGGTTCTTCTCTCTATATATTAACTATTTCCACCAAATGTCAGGGGTTGAGGACATTAGTTGGCAATAATAAATACGAAAATAAATCAAAGAAACTAACCTAGGTTACGAAAGAATAAATTGAAAGTAAAATCAAAGAAATAAATAAGGGAGTTTATATATCGAGACAAAAACTTTTACTATATTTCAAGGAACTCTACTAGTTTTGAAACATGTCAATGAGAGACAAAAATATAAAAACAACAAAAACCTAGCCCAAAAACATGGAAATAATGTTTTAAAATACTTGACATACCCCTAAAGTTTTAGGCTGTTAATATAACTTAACCCTTACAACTCCAACAAAATTTATATGTGCCATAAGCTCAACTCATCCTCGATTTTTGCATAATCAGTTTTGAAACTATATGTAGAATCAGTTTGTATCCTTTATTACTAGAATCAATTCAACTATTTATGCAGAATTGGTTCAATCTGTCATCTAACATTTAATCTAACAAAATCTATCGTATGATATTTTTGCAGAATCAGTTCAACCTGTCATCGACAATTTTTGCAGCATCAGTTCAACCCCTCATCGACTATTTTTGCATAATCGATTCAATTAGTCATCGATTAATTTTGCAGAATCAATTCAACTCTTCCTCAACCTTTTTTGCAAAATTGGTTCAACCAGTCCTCAACCATTTTTGCATAATCAATTTAATCCGTCTTCTACCATTTTTTCTTAATTAGTTCAACCCGTCCTTGACTATTTTGGCTGAACCAATTCAACCCGTCTTCAACTATTTTTGTAGAATTAGTTTAATCTGTCTTCGACCATTTTTGCAAAATTAGTTCAACCCTTCTTGATTGCTCATACATATGTGCCTTTTTCCTTTTTGGTTTTTGTATGTGCACTGTTTAGCTGCCTAGAAAGTGAGGAAGAATATAAAGTACAAAAATTAAGAATTTGCACGTGCAACACGGTCCAGACATCAAATCAATGAATAAAGAGAGAAATCGGAACGAAATTGAATTGGATATGAAGGGCTTCTTGCCGATTCTCAATCTTTCAAGCTCAGCTCCAACTTCACATTCAGTCTAATATTTCTTGAAGAGAGAAAGAGAAAGAAAGGAGTAACAAATGAAGTGATGGAATTGTGAAACGACTTTACCACCATAAAGGGTATTTCTATTACTTACACTTTAGAGAAAAAAGAAAAACTAATGATTTCATCTTTTACATGTATTAACTTTTGTCCCACTTTGAAATATTTAAAAAGTGTTATCTCAATATAAAATTAAGTATTAAAAGTAGGGAAATGTTATTGGTACTCCCAAAATCTCATTCTACAATCCTCACAAGTGTATTTTTCTTTCCTAATATAGAAAGTTTGGAGTGTAGAATTATATTTTTTGAGTGCTTGTAGTGTCTATAAATGTGGGATAAGACAATATTATAAAATGCGGGTGTAACACAAATAAATAAATTAAAATATTGATGCGGGTGGAATGCATATAAATAAATAAAAATATTGTCACTTGATCCGCTAAACTAGTCACATTAAGTAAATGATGCGTTGAGTTTTTTCCAATGACCTTGAAGACCTTGATTACTTGGCATCTTTTCCATGTACATCGCAAAACGCTTTCGTAATTTTACTCCACATTTCTCGCTTATCCATCTCATTACCTGTAATCAGGTCATGAGTAGTGTGAACCCAACATTCACACAAAGTAAGATCTTCAATGAGCTTCCATGTAGTCATTTTTTCTCTCAAAGTGTAGAAAATGTTGAAATGTAGAAAGTGTAGAAAATATTGAAATATGGTGTAAGGTGGAAGATGAGGGTTAGACATTTATAGAAAAAAATTTCAATTTTTTTCTGTATTTTTTAACAATTTTTAATTAATTTTTTTTATAAATTTTAATTTAGTTAATTAATTTATACCGTTGGATTTGAAAAATATTCAAATCCAATAGCCTATAAGTTGACATGTGGCCAACGATCATAATTCTGACTGTTGTGCCTTTTTTTTTTTTAAATTTTGGGGGAAAAACGTGGACCGTTGATCTGTGATCGGACGGTCCAAATCAAAATTCAAATTCAATTTTTTTTTACCGTTGGAAATCCAATTGTCCAGAAAACTAGCCGTTGGAAATCCAATGGCTCAGGACTGGCCTGTGGCCTCCCTATTGGTGCGCTGAGTGCGCTTGCGCAAGCGGGCCCTGGCTCTAGATTCTTGTCGGCAATGTGCGCCCAATCACACGTGCTTCCCATGCGCCTGGCGCAAAAAAAAAAAAAAAAAAAAAATAAAAAATTCAAACGTCCTCTGACGCCACTCTTGCGTCAGATGGGCCGGTCAATAGGTCTGTCGATTTTGGGCTAGCCAGTGGCCTGACTTGGGCTGGGTGCCAGCCTATTAGGCTGGGGTGGAGCAGAAATGAGGGAGGCTGGTCCATTTTTTGGACTGGGTGCTGGGGTATCAAGCCCTAGTGAAACTGCTCTTAGCTTCCACTAGTCTGATCGGTCGTTGGCCTATCACTTTTCAAATCCCATCGTTTGGTTTTGAAAATCTTTTCTAACACCAAAGTAGGTATATGTTCAAGAATCCAAATTTAAGCTCGGGTGAATAGAGAGGAGCACATACGTTCTAGCTAATATGCACACGTTTGCAGTTCCAAGTTTCATATGATATTTATTATTATATTTCAGTTATTATATTGGGACTCAGATCAGAATAACATGCTATAGATCCAGAAGATTAGTTATAAATTTGTAACTGACATTCTTTCACAAAGTCAATAAAAATTACAAGCCATAAATTACTAATGCCAAATTACTGTCATATTATTACATGTCAGCCATGATTGACAAGTTCAAATGTGGAATCCTACAAGCAAGAAGCTAACCCCACGTTAGCGTACATGTATCAGCTACAAGCCTAGAAAATGTTCAAATCTCAAACAGCCCAATTGAGCTCCTATTTTAATTGCATTCTTCCAGTTTTGGTGGCATGGACAGATTCAGCAGAAGAACAGCACTCTTTCTTTTCTGGTTCATCATCGTCTCGCTTCAGATTCCGAAAACAATCGGGGAAGCGCAACCACAGGTCGAAAAGAATGAGGAAGCAGATCAGCCAACTGCTTTTGGAAGAACAATGCAAGACACCATGTCTATGCTCTATGATACAATCTCTGTCCTGCAAAGTCTCACCAAAATGCATGGGACAAAGTTAAAACCATCATAAACGACATGCAGTTGCAATTTTCCCCTCCAAATTTAGAGTAAGTCTATTGATTTATAATCTCCGATGGTTCAATCATATTATTATCCAATCTTCTCAAGCATAGCCTGTTGTCGTTTGCTTGAAACTGTTAACAAAATGAGGGATTTCAGACGATTCTCGAAAAGTTTTGTACAAGTTGATATTTTTCAATATAATGTTGAAAGAGGTTCCAAGTCTTGTTTTGATCCAAACAAAAGAAAGAAAAGAAAGAAAGGGGTTTGTGAAGTTGTTTTTATCAGTTTCAGGGGCGGAGACGAGGCAAATGCAAGGGGCAGCGAAGGCGATGATCAAGGGATGGGAGGAAAAGTGAAAGAGGCAGCACAGAAGAGTTTTGAAACAAGCAAACATACGGTGGAGGAATCGGCTAAATCCGCAGGCGAAGCTGTGGGAGGGACGGTGCATAAGACAGCAGAAAAGGTAAAGGAGACGGTGGCTTCTCCGCACGAAGAGACTCCTGCTGCGCATGCAGAGCTTTGATAATCTTCTTTGTTTAATGCTTAAATTAGTCAAGGCGTTTTTGGCTTAAACATTTCTTTCATTCATTGTAAACTTGTATCAATCTGTTGCATTGATTCGGTTTTATGCTTAAGCAATGATCTCATGGGAAGCTATTCAATCCATCGATGAATAATAACCTTGTTTCACTTTTTTGTTGTATCGAAAGAGATTTGACCATCCTTAACAAATGCATAAGCAGGCAATGCGGAATTTTGGACGTCCGCGAGGAAATATCACAGAAAAGTGAAACAATGTTATTATTCATATCTTCAATTGAGAAGTTATCCCGATTACATCCCCACAGAATAACAATTTCATAGGTTCCATCAACCGTATGAAAATTAAAAAGAAAAAAAAAATAGAAATTCAGGGATACGACACTCACCGTCATCTGAATGGTTGGGGTACCTGAGATCCAGTTACACCTGCTTTAGCTGTCCACTATGGCTACTCAAGCATAATAACAAGCAACACATGACAGCTTCGCCGAGTACCTCAATCTACATCAGTTGCAAGCTTAAACTCAAGAACACGCCTATATACGTTGAACAGAGAAGGACATAACAAGGTAATTCGAAAAGCCAACAAACAAGCTTGAGCAATAAAGAAAAAAATTTAATCCAACGGTTGTGAGCTTAAAACTGATACCAAGTCAATGTCAGTCACATTCTGTGAGCTTAAAACTGAGCTTAAAACCTCAGAAAATGGTAGTAACCGACGCTATGATAATTCAACTTGTAATACACATTTCCTTTTTAGATTGAAGCTACTAAGAACTGGAAGAAGAGAGTTTAAGACATTCACTCTGGCATCTCCGAAGGCAGATGTCATTCCAGTTAGGTACTTGATGTTGGTTTACGCAAACAGTGCGTGCACATGCATCAGCACAAGCATCCAGCTCAGATACACCGCACACGGTAACACAGCTATCAGGAATTGGATCCTTTGAAAATGCACCTACCTTTTTCAGCATTCTCTTTGATGTACATACCCTTTCACAGACAAAGATCTCATCAGAACTCTTCTCCCTCCCCCTAGCACTCATTAATCTCTGTTCTTCAGCACACCTTTTCTTCACTCGAAATGCTTGTCCTGCAACCACTGCAGGGATAGCTGCTAACAGGGACCACCACACTTCCACCATCACCACCAATGCAAAGTCAATCTCTTCTTTAGCAGTCTTTAACAGAAATACGAAATGCAAAGAACTTAGTTACTCATTTAGTCATTGTTAGATTGTAAGCATATGCATTCTTTATAAAATTCTAAACGTCATTTTGGCCTAACCGAAACCAATATGTAACTGAAGTCAAGAAATTGAGAACATGGTAAAAGAATCCTTGAGTTACATACATGTAAAAATACAATACCGCAGTTTTCAGTAAAGACAAATTTTGCCCCGAAAGAAGGGAGCAAGAAAACTGCAAACAGAAGTTCAATATAACCATTGAGATGTCAACAGGAAAAGCGATAAGGAATCCAATTTACTGGTTAATCTCAACACAACTGCCAAGAGCCTACCATCAGACAGAAAGGTACAAGGGGGGTGATTTTCACACACCTCTCCTTATTTTTGGCCATCAAATCGAATAAATCAAACGGAAACAACAAACATGATTAAACAGGAATGTGTGCGAGACTAAAAATGGTTGTGCTTATCATTTCCCTAGGAATCATTACTCCACTATGGTAATGTGAATAGGTTTAACTATATTTCTTCCCTCTATTTTAGCTTGGATTTAGTTTTTACTGCAAAATCGGATTATCCAACAATGGAACATTCCAACAACAACAACGAAAACAATGATTAAACCAAAGAATTGCCCAAAGTAACCCCACACAGAGAGAAACTAACCAAATACACGCACTCACACAAACGTTTCTGAGGTTTTAAACCCAGAACCCTAATATTATCCATGGGATAAAGCAGTGCAATTCCATCTCCATAGCAGATGTTTTTCCTTTACCAATCCACCACACCAATTAACAAGTATCAAACAAATAAATGGAAAGAAATAAAAACTCCCAGAGAGCCAGAGGGACATATTTTCTTGCCACGTTTTAAGCAGAGCAAACATATCTTATCAGAAAAACCATAAGAGTGATGAAAATTATTCCAAATAATTGAGAATTACATGGGAAGTTGTAATATGAATTCAAAACAACCCTAGAAAATTCTAATTGTTCAAACTTGTAGGGAATATTGTTTGTTGGGTTTTAAGTTTTAGGGTTTAGAAGACGGTTCTGGGTTCGGGAAGCATACCTGATGATATTCGACGAGGTGTCTGCTCTTCCGGCTTCAAAGTTTGAGAGAGAGAAAGATAGTATGAAAGTAATGGTATCTTATTATTTAATCTTTCATATATACCCCCTCCCTATTTAATCTTTTATTAATTACCATAAAAAAGTAGGAAGGGTATATATGAAAGATTAAATAGTAGGATACCAATTAACTATTAAAAAATAGGGAGGGGTGTGTGAAAATCACAACCCTTGAGTTGGTAACTCGCCGGATCCTTTTTTGATAGTATCGAGGAGATTTTCAAACCATATTCGTTCATCGTATATTATGTGTTTAGAAATTATCATAATTTTTTATTTAAAATTGAATATAAACAATACCTGACAAAAATTGGTTGCACAATGGACGATGAACGGATGTTGTGGATGCAAATTTTCGTCATCTTCAGTCTTGACGAAAATGCACCTGTACCTAAGCCTCACATGCCCACGATGTGGGGGGTTAGGTCAACGAATCTCCGATGCCTAAGTTAGTTTTTTGAGAGAGTAAGGTGTTTAGGCTTTTTAGGGTTGCAAAAAGCTCTCTGAAAATGGTAGAATATGGGGTATTTATAGGGCTAGGGCTGACCGCATAGGGTTTAATGGAGAAAATATTCTCTAAATATTCCCAAGATATTTAAAAGGAGATAATATCTTGAGATAATAGGTAATAATCCTTAATTGATTTAAATTAGTATTACTTACTTGATTGGAGTCAATCTTTAATTATGAATGTATGAAAAATGAGATTTGGATAATTAATCATTATATTTAATTCCTTGCCATGGGTAGGTGAGCTGTGGGTAGTTGTATTCAGCTACTGGGTCCTTTAGGGAGGTGAGCTGCACGTGGGACAATATGAGAAGCCTGTCCATTTATTGAGGGCAATCTTGTCATTCTTGAATAAAAGTCCACGTGTCGCCTCTAGAATTTTTGGAATTATTTTTGGCTCCACAAATGCCCCCACACTTACTGTGCTGCTTGCATGGAAAAGGTAATAGGTGTAGAAATCCTAAGCTGCTTGGGCTTGCAGAGTTGTTTCTCAATTTGAACTTGATCTTTTTCTTGATTTGGAGATAGACTTCTTCTAGGAAAAGGAAAATAGTTGTTCCCAATACCTATTTAACTCTGCCTTAAGCAGGGGATTAAATAAATTTGGAGAACAATCATTATTCCAACAAGAAGGAGAAGCCAGAGGATATTTTTTCTTCCCTCTCCCCTAGTGTTCTTCTTTTCTTGCCTTTGCGAAGAGTCGTTTCTCGTTGTTGTTCTTCTTCTTCGTGCTGCTCCAAGGTAAGAATATTTTCTTTTTCTTGAATTTTTGGGAGCCTTGGGGCTTGAAAGATTGGCTTGGAGGATGCCAAGGATGCATGAATGGCTTGGCAGGGAGGCCACAGGCTGCAAGTGGTGCGGCAAGGGTGTTGGTTGGTGTGTTGGTGACACACGACATGGATGCTGTGAGTTGCTTTGCAAAAAAACAGCATAGTGATGCGGCATGGGGTGAGTTGGTGCGTTGGGCTCAAGCTTGCTAAAGGTTGGAGAGAAGGAGAGGCCGGCTTGGGCTGGTCCTCTGGCTGATGCATGCAGCTTGGGCAGTGATATGAGCATATTTATGCGACTGAGTTAGCTTGTTCTCATGCATTTATGTTGTTATTTCTTAGTTAATTATGTATTTTAAGCTATTTTCGTGTGTTTGTAGGTCTATAGGCCTTATGAAGTAATAAGATGCATTTTAGAGTAGTTTTGGGCTTGGAATGAATAGCACATGCATGGAGCAAGGTGGATGGACGAAATTGAAGACTAAAGAGGCTAGGAATGTGTTAAAGAGAAAGAAGAATTAATGTAAAGGACAAAGAGCTCAACCATAAAGGGGTGTCACTCCACCATTCACCTTTCCATCATTGCCGTGCACCACTATTGCACTCTCTTTGGATTCCTATGCCGTGCATCATCATCCATGTTCCCTCTATTGACTCATTTGTTGCATCATTCCACCTCCCTTTCCTTTCTCTACCATGTGCACAATCATTCATGTTCCCTAGCTGTAACACCACCACTCCATTTTACCCCCCATGCTTTGCATCATCAACACTTTCACCTTTGAATCATTTTAAACACCACTCATTGCACTCAATTGCAACCATTGTTTCCCCACCATTCATTTCAGATCATTCATCATTAGATTTCAATGCATCATTACCTTGTTCAAATCATTGCTACATTTCATTCCTCATTCCCCCCCCATTCCATTGAATCAATTGCTCACCATCCATTGCCTTCCCTTGTCATTTCAGATTCATGCATCATTACATTGAATCATTGCTTTTCCTCAATCATCCATTGCACATTGCACTCATTCATTGCTTCCCATCATCCCATTTTCACATCATTTCATGATCATTGCATCATTCATTGAATCCCTCATTGCACATCATCATCATTGCCATCATTCATTGTTCCCTCCATCATTTCAGATTTCATGCATCATTGCACTCAATTGTTACACCACTCCATGTTCCCCTCCATTGCCATGCACTTTCTTTATAAAAGGAAGTGTGTGTAACATAAATTTAGTTCATACTTTGTTAGATCATTCACTCCCATTTCAACACAACCTTCATCCAAACACATCCATTCATCTTCACATCCACCAACACCTTGTGCCGTAGCAAAGGAAGGGAAGGAAAGTGCTTGGACGTGCTTGCTGTCCAACTTGGATCGTTGCAGCGTTTAGGTGTTTTCTTTCTTTTGTTTCTAATGTTTAAATTCATTTCCTTTCATTTTGTTGTAAATATGAGTGACTAAACCCCTCTTGGTTAGGGGTGATTTCAAAGCCATGACCACGTGTGCAATATAATTTGATAAATTCCAGTTATGAACTCTTGAATCGTGAATGCAATTGGCTTAACTATTTGATTGATAACTTATTTGTACTTGTTAATTAAGGGTCGACACTTAATTGGCATGCATAAATCCGTTGCTAGAATATAAGGAAGTTTCACATAATCGTTACAAACTTATATTCACATGTAGTGAAGGTCGCTTATAAATGATCGCGTTAAGTTCAATTCCTAGCATGAGTGACATGATGTCATAGTTGCAAGTGCTTTGTCAATGCTTATGATTTTCATTAGACGTAATGATCTTTGATTGTATCTTTATTATGATGTCATGTAGGGAACTTTTGAAGAATGTTTTAGGTTGTCGAATGATGTCATCCAATCCAATAAAACAAGGAAAATCTAAGAGTTAACTAGTGATGTCACGGTTAATTTGGGGCATTGTCATTCATAATGCAATGAAGTAGTAACTGGAAATCGAGTTATTTGCATACATGTCATGTGTGGAGAAAAAGCCTCTAGCTATCGCATCCATCATCTTATTTCTCACATTTGTTTTACAATCTGCCTAGTTTTTCATACTTGTTTGTGTTTCCACTTCATCCAAATCAAAACCCCCCTTTTAGTTTCTTGTTTCAAAGTGTTTCAAATCTGTTTTAGTTTGTGTTTTTAAGTGTTTTGATTCAAGTAAAAGTCAATTTTCATCCAAAGTCATTCCTAGTGTCTAGTTTAAGTTTATTTGGTTGTTTTAAGCTGTTTTGAGTATTTTAAGTTTGCTTTGAGTCTTGTGAGTCTTGTTAAGTGTTTTTAAGTTTAGTTTTATGTTTTTGAGTTAGTTTAGAGGTTATTAGCAAGCCCTCCTAATCCCCGGTCTAGAACGATCTCTACTTATACTTGTACTACAATTGTCAAAAGAGGGTTAAATTTGTGTGTTAAGATAATTTTCGCATCAAGTTTTTGGCGCCGTTGCCGGGGATTAGCAACTTTGCTAATCCCTTGTTATTTCTTTTTGTTTATTTTCATGTGTTTTTGTTCCTAGTTGCTGATTTTACTTGTTTTCTTATTTTAGGTGGTTTATGACTCGAAGTTCTCAACCTATTCATAAGCACATCTTTGACTTTGACGACGATTTTGAACGAACTTTGAGACGAGCAAGGAATCAACAAGATCCCCAACCATCTCAACCTGCACCAGATCTTGAAGAAGACAAAGTAGAAGAGCAAGAGGAGGCCACGTTAAGGACTTTTGAAGAAGTCCAAGATATGGCAGTAGACAATCGAACAATCAAGGAGCTTTCCGCTTCAGGATTGGACAATGCTCTGCCTTTATGCATTCAGTATCCAAGGGCGGCCCAAAACAAGACTGATGAGTTCGAATTAAAGTCCAGTTTATTGCATCATATTCCTAAGTTCCATGGGTTGTCCATAGAAGATCCTAATAAACATTTGAAGGAGTTCGAGGTTGTTTGTTTGAGCATGACCCATGTGAATGTTGATGGGAGCATTATGAAAATGAAGGCTTTTCCATTTTCTCTTTTGGAAAAGGCTAAAGATTGGTTGTACGAGCTAGCCCCCGGAACTGTCACATCATGGGAGAGTATGAAACGAGCATTTTTGGAGAAGTTTTTCCCAACTTCTCGAGTCATTCTACTATGCAAAAGGATTAGTGGCATTTAGAAAAACCAAGGTGAATCCTTTCCCACTTACTATGAGCGTTTTAAACCCTTGTTGCTTCATGTCCACAACACCAGATGAAGGAGGAGCTTCTTCTTCAATATTTCTACGAAGGGCTTCTACCAATTGAACACCAAATGTTAGATGCCTCAGCGGGAGGAGCTTTGGTGGACAAAACACCCATGGCTGCCAAGATCTTAATTGCTAACCGAGCATTGAATGCCCAACAATATGAAGGCGTTGGTCAAAGAGACAACCCATGGTAGCAACAAGTTAATGAGGTAAGTGCTATTTCTGAACTTCAAAATCAAATGGCTAATCTTACTACTCTTCTTTCACAGGTGGTTAAAAAACCAAAAGAACAAAGTGTAGCTGCTTGTGGCGTGTGCTCAATGAATGGACATCTCACGGATAAGTGCCCTCAATTGATCGAGAACGGAGGGTGGGAATCTGCCAACGCCGTGGGTTTTGAGAGTCAAAACCAACCAAGGAATGATCCGTTCTTGAATACATACAATCCA